GCTTTGCAGAACACCTACGCTCGGTTCGCAATAAACAACTGCACCTCCCAGTCGCGAACCATTTCAACTCCCCCTCCCATTCCTCAGACGACATGTCCATCCTGGGCCTCCTGCAGTGCCACAACGATGCCACCCGAAGGTTGCAGGAACAGCAACTCATATTCCGCTTGGGAACCCTGCAGCCCAATGGTATCAATGTGGATTTCACAAGTTTCAAAATCTCCCCTCCCCCTACCGCATCCCAAAACCAGTCCAGCTCGTCCCTGCCTCCCTAACCTGTTCTTCCTCCCACCTATCCCCTCCTCCCACCTCAAGCCGCACCCCCATCTCCTACCTACTAACCTCATCCCGCCCCCTTGACCTGCCCGTCCTCCCTGGACTGACCTATCCCCTTCCTAACTCCCTACCTACACTCACCTTTACTGGCTCCATCCCCGCCTCTTCGACCTGTTTGTTTCCTCTCCACCTATCCTCTCCTCTATCCCTCTTCTATCCGCCTCCCACTCTCTCCCTATTTATTTCAGAACCCCTTTCCCCTCCCCCTTTTCTGATGAAGGGTCTAGGCCTGAAACGTCAGCCTGTCTGCTCCTATGATGCTGCTTGGCCTGCTGTGTTCATCCAGCCCTGCACCTTGTTGTCTCGGATTCTCCAGCATCTGCAGTTCCTACTATCTCTGATTCAATATTGAGTTTAATAGTTTTAAGGTCTGAACTCTCCCATGTCCCAGCCCCCTACCCCACACACCAGGTCTTGTTATCTCATAGCCTGCCATTACACACTACCTTATTGTTAGCCGCTAACAGTCTCCATTAACAGCTATTCACCCTCCTAACCAGATCGTTATCAATTCCTTTGTCTGTCCATCTGTTCTTCTCTCTCTTTAGCCCCTCCCCCCACTTCTGTATATAGATCATTTTCCTAGCTACCATCAGTTCTGAGGAAGGGTCACCGGACCTGAAACGTTAGCTCTGATTTTACTTCACAGATGCTGCTAGACCTGCTGAGCTTTTCCAGCAACTTCTGTTTTTGTTCATGATAGATGGGGCCTCAGTTTAAGGTTTAACAGCCCTTCTGACAGGGACAACACAGTGTGGAGCTGGAGAAATACAGCAGGCCAGGCAGCATCAGTGGAGCAGGAAAGTTGACGTTTCGGGCCAGGACCCTCTTTAGCAATGACAGGGCAGTACTACCTCATTGCTGTACTGGGAGAGTTGATGTGGATTTTATAGTCAGAACTCTAATTGCCCCCTATTTCCTACATTATTAGAATGTTGTCCCTTTCTGTTGCTTTTCCCTTCCATATCATGAGAATAGTCATCACTGGCCCAGGTACAGTTACACAGGAGTCTGCTGTACTGACACACCTTTCATAATTTTTTTGTGTGACCCTTTTCAGGGTAGGTTTGCAAAATATGGCTTAGCTTCTTCGTACTTTGATATGTCCTTGCTGACATTCATATGCATGACCTCTTCAGCAGAGGTTAGTCAGTGATTGGGAGCAGGAACCCTGATTAATGGATCCCAGTCTGTCTGGCTCAGGGCAGTCATTATTATTTCACTGCGTGAACTTGAGTCATCAAAAGCAATTTCTTATGTTTTTAATGGAGATAGCGGATACCATGGAAGATGCCAAAAGCTGCCCTTACAGACCTGTCAAAGGCTCCCAGAACAAGTACAGCGTGGAGTTAATCATCTGCCTCCACTGAGAGTTCATTTGCTCATTTGCTTTGGTGCTTCTAACTGTTGCCACTTGGTGGTGCTGTTAACCTCTTGGATACATCGTACCAATTGCTGTGGAGAATGGATCAGTTTAGTGTCAAAAATGTTTTACTCTCTCCTTTGACTATCCTGCTGAGATATGTATTGCCATTTGCATGACAGTGATATTGTTGTCCGCAACTAGCGGGGTCCACTTTCAGGCTGGTAGTTAAGTAGGTAATAAGCTCCCAAACTTTCTGCAACCTGCCTTGAGAATCTGTAATTTCCTGGTGACTGGCCCCATCCCATTGTCACAGCTCAGAGTCAACAAAGAACAAAGAAAATTACAGCACAGGAACAGGCCCTTCGGCCCTCCAAGCCTGCGCCGATCCAGATCCTCTATCTAAACCTGTCGCCTATTTTCCAAGGATCTGTATCCCTCTGCTCCCTGCCCATTCATGTATCTGTCTAGATGCATCTTAAATGACGCTATCATGCCCTCCTCTACCACCTCCGCTGACAACACGTTCCAGGCATCCACCACCCTTATCATAAAGAACTTTCCACGCATATCTCCCTTAAACTTTTCCCCTCTCACCTTGAAATCGTGACCCCCAGTAATGGAGTCCCCCACTCTGGGGAAAAGCTTCTTGCTATCCACCCTGTCTATACCTCTCATGATTTTGTAGACCTCAATCAGGTTCCCCCCTCAACCTCCATCTTTCTAATGTAAATAATCCTAATCTACTCAACCTCTCTTCGTAGCTAGCGCCCTCCATACCAGGCAACATCCTGGTGAGCCTCCTGTGCACCCTCTCCAAAGCATCCACGTCCTTTTGGTAATGTGGCGACCAGAACTGTACGCAGTATTCCAAATGTGGTCGAACCAAAGTCCTATACAACTGTAACATGACCTGCCAACTCTTGTACTCAATACCCTGTCCGATGAATGAAAGCATGCCGTATGCCTTCTTGACCACTCTATCGACCTGTGTTGCCACCGTCAGGGTACAATGGACCTGAACACCCAGATCTCTCTGTGCATCAATTTTCCCCAGGGCTTTTCCATTTACTGTATAGTTCGCTCTTGAATTGGATCTTCCAAAATGCATCACCTCGCATTTGCCTGGATTGAACTCCATCTGCCATTTCTCCGCCCAACTCTCCAATCTATCTATATTCTGCTGCATTCTCCGACAGTCCCCTTCACTGTCTGCTACTCCACCAATCTTAGTGTCATCTGCAAACTTGCTAATCAGACCATCAATACCTTCCTCCAGATCATTTATGTATATTACAAACAACAGTGGTCCCAACACGGATCCCTGTGGCACACCACTGGTCACAGTTCTCCATTTTGAGAAACTCCCTTCCACTACAACTCTCTGTCTCCTGTTGCCCAGCCAGTTCTCTATCCATCTAGCTGGTACACCCTGGACCCCATGCGACTTCACTTTCTCCATCAGCCTACCATGGGGAACCTTATCAAACGCCTTACCGAAGTCCATGTATATGACATCTACAGCCCTTCCCTCATCTATCAACTTTGTCACTTCCTCAAAGAATTCTATCAAGTTGGTAAGACATGACGTTCCCTGCACAAAACCATGCTGCCTATCACTGTTAAGCCCATTTTCTTCCAAATGTAAATAGATCCTATCCCTCAGTATCTTCTCCAGCAGAGTCAAAATGATAACAGCTCAGGTAAGGTGTCAGAAAGGTGATAGGATCGTGACCGAGGCAAAGAGTTGATGCTGTTGTGAGAGGATAGGTGGGGGGGAGAGTTGGTCAAGGAAAGAGAAAAGATAATTTTCAAATATAGTAATGGGTTTGTGAAACACTCACGTTGTCTTGACCTGCACTGAGAAATGCCCAGCTGGACCATTTCAGTCTCTGCCCTTCCAAATTTCAGCACTGCCTGGTGAGAGTTGCATGGTCTGCATAACACTGGTGTCTTATTGTGACTGGTATTAGTAAAGTGGAGATTCATACATCACTAAAAGATGTTAGCCTCCATGTGGTTTCCGAACTATATACTAAAAGCAGCACCTAAAAGCATCTCAGCAACAGCACCTTGACTTTCTGACACTTCATTTATGCATTGGGACAGGTAATAGTTCTGGAGACATTGTTTTTAATTTGGGTTTCTCAGTATCCTACGTTGAGCAAAATTTTTGATCATAGTGTTTTTTTTTCCCTTCTCCTCGTTATTACACGACTCTCAAACAAGCAAAAGGGAGTCGTTTGGAGAATTTTTTTTTAAATGTGCTGTTTGGGCACCTCTGTCTAAATACTTCAGTTCTTTTGAGAGTAAGCAACAAATACAACACATTGAAGGTGGTAAAGTGTCCCAAGTGTATCATCATCATCACCAAACAAAACATTTCACTGGCCTGCTTCAGATTTTAGGTGACCAAAATCCTGGTCGAATAGGTGGTCTTTAAGGAGCCTCCTAAAGGAGGAAAGAAAGGCAGAGATGTTTATGGAGGGAATTCCAGAGTTTGCTGTGTCAGCTGCTAGAAGTTCAGCCAGTTATGGAGGAGTGGTTAAAATCAACAGGACAGGATTCAAGGAGTACAGACATCACGGAGGAATTGTGGAGCTAGAGGCGCCTACAGAGAGAGGGTGTGGTGAGATCCGGAGGGATTGGAAAGCAAGGGTAAGAATTTTTGGAATGTTGTTGAAATTAGGAGTCACTGTAGGTCAGTGAACAAGGGTGAACATGTGTGTGTTAGGATATGGGGAGCACAGTTTTATTTGGGCTTCAGGAGACAAAGTTGTAAATTCTTATAAAATGGAAGCTAATTCATTTATTCTGCGTCTGGTTCAGGCACTGATGACATTATACCAGCTGGAAGTATTGGTTGAAGAAACTATCCTTGGTTGGTTCTCTCAGAGTGCGCCTACAGAGAAAGGAAGAAGTATTCGAAAACATCATGGGGTGAGTGCACAGCTGCGAGTCCACTCTTTCCTCCATTGGGCTCTGTGCCAGTTACATCAATAAGTTCTATACAAGCTGTGCGGTCAAATCACACAGCTCAGAAGGAGGTCATTCAGCCCGTTGTGCCTGTCCTGGCTCTTTGAAAAAGCTATCCAATTAGTTGTATGCATTACTTGTTCTCCAGTTTGCCTTGTCACACATTTATCCATATCTTTATTGAAAGGTACAGCTGAAGCTGCCTTCACTGCCTTTGTGGGATTGAGGTCCAGACCGTAAGGCATGCTGCAGTTCCCCATACATCACATGAATTTTCTAGCCAGTTACCTTATTGAATTCAGAAAATCACAATGCAGGAGGAGGCTGTTCAGCCCACTGCTCATTTTTGGACTGTTTAAATGTGCAGTCATGTTCGGTTCCACACTTGTGCTTATTGTCCACGCTAATGGCAGTCAAAGTTCCTTTCAACATTATTCATGGAATCTGTTCTCACTGCCTTTTCAGATTCTGATTTCCCTTTGAAATAACTTCACCTCATCCCTTGAGATCTTTTGCCAGTGGTTTCTAAATGTGTAACCTCTTGTTGATTGACCCACTCATCATGGGAATTAGTTTTTTTTTCTCCATCTACTTTATCAAAACCTGCAATAGTTGATTTTGGCCACCATTTAATTTTCTATGTACCAGAAAGAACAGTTTAACTTTTCCCAACCTGTCTTGTGTCCTCCGATTACTGACCCTTCTGCCATTCGAAACAGTGTCTCCCACTCTCTGGAAACCCATGTTTTGTGTTAACAAGGTCTTCAAGCTGTGTGGTAATTATGTTGTGTTTAAGTTTTTCTCTGCTACCTAATTTAAGGAATGAGTGTTTTTGTTTCCCCTGAATGCAGTTGTTTTTCTTATTCCTATTGTATTAAAGTATTTTGTCAAGGCAGCACATGACCATTAGTCCACTAACCAGAAGGTCACTGGAATCATAGAATCCCTACAGTGCAGTTAGAGGCCACTCGGCCCATTGAGTCTTGCAATGACCCTCTGAGGAGCATCCAACCCATTCCCATAACACCACATTTACCATAGTTAACCCACCTAGCCTGCACACTGCCTGACAATTTAGCCTAGCCAGTTGACCTCACCTGCGTATCTTTGGACTGTGGGAGGAGACCGGAGGACCTGGAGGAAACACACACAGACACTGGGAGAATGTGCAAACTCCACACAGACAGTTGCCTGTGGGTGGAATCAAACCTAGGTCCCTGGTGCTGTGGGGCAGCAGTGCTAACTGCTGAGGCACCATGCTGCCAGCTGTCTCTGGTTGTCATTGATTTAATCTCGGTTGGAGGGACCACCATTGGCCATAACAGGAACTTCTGACATTCTCAATCCTGAGTACTATCCCAAGCCTTGCTACAAATCCATATATGTTGTCGTCAGGTGAGGGTAGAATTGAGTTTGGCTGTGAAGCTTACTATGGTTCACTAGATTGGTTATGCTACTTGGGCTCATTCATGAAGACTTACCATTTAGATGAGATGCAGGAGTGCTTGCAATATCCTTACAGCCATTAGCCTCACTGATTCCCTACAACAGCCATTAAGGTAACTTCTGGTGTTAGTAATTCTTCTGTGGCCTCGTGCAGATAGAGCAATCTGATTTTGAATAATAAGTCCAGGCTGATATTACATAAAACAGCTATTCATTTTGGGATTTGATACACTTGCAATATTTCTGTAGCCATTAGTCAAAAATACTCATAGTTTTCCTTCAACCATTAGTCTGGAACTCTGAATATTTCTGTAGCCATTGACTCACAGTACTTGCAATATCCACGCAACCATTAGCCAAACATGCTCACAGTTTCCCTGCGGCCACTAGCCCATACCAAATCAGCACTTTCAGGGTAGATGGAGACATGAGTCAGTGTTCAGTGGGTAGGAGGAGCTGAGTCACCACCTTCAAGGAGGAAAGGGCTTTGAGTTAGCATCTTGGCAAGGAAGAAAGGAAGAAGAAAGGTAAACAGGCCAGAAATAAAATGAACCTTTCTTCAGTTTTGATAATGGCATCTGAAACCAGCCATGAAGGTAACTATTAGAGTTTGGAATACTTTGTGGCCTCTGACAGATAATGAACAATCCGATCTTGAATAATAACACTGGGCTGATACTATGTAAAACAGATCCATTCATTCTGAGATGTGATGTGGGTGGTTCATTGCAATAAGGAGAGCTGTCTATGCTATGCACAGCAAACATTTTGTAAATAGCCTGGGATTGCTGCTGTATGGGCTTTGCACATTCACAACACTCTAACTGGCTCTTTTGTTCTTCAGCTGCAGAAGTTCATTAAGTGGCTTGAAGAGGCTGAGGTGGAATCATCTGAGGAGGAGAATTAACGCATTGCGCCAAGTCATGGGGACCTTTCATAAATTTAAGCATTGCTGAGTGCTCAGTGCATCGTCAGGTCGACCAGAATTGAAAATCGTTTTGGTCTGTTGCGACGAGTGAAAGAATTGATAGGTGTGAAAGGCTCTTATCAGGATGGGAATGGTCTTTGGCTGCTAATTTTTGTCCTTTGGAAACATTTTAAAACTGGTGTGATCTCTCACACTGGACACCTTTGTTTAAATTGTAAAACAGATTCATGGGATCAAAGTCACTGCACCCTGCTCAGTCCTTGGGGCTGTCCATGGAATGGGTTTGGACTACTCTTAGTTAGGATGAGTTCACACCACAAAATGTCCTCTCACTCAGAACCAGCTTCAGCAGCTTGTTCAGGGAAGTCACAACCTGGCTGGTGTAGAAACTGTAAAACATAAAGTATGACCGTGATGAAGGGATGGAACACATTATCACATTGTAAAAGTTCACTTTGCATCTAACCCTGTGCTTGTACCTCCCTGGAAGTGTTTGATGTGGAGAGTGTAGAGGAAGCTTTACTCTGTGCTGTACCTCCCTGGGAGTGTTTGATGAGGACTGTGTAGTTTGCTTTCAGCAGTGTTGAAAGTACTTGACAAGACTAAATTAAGTAAACTTGCTTAACACATTGTACCTAATTCAGATTGTTTTAGGGAACTTTGTGCCACACTATACCTAACTTGTGTGTGTTGGCTGCTACTAGTAGCTACAAAAAAGTGTTCTATTCCTGGCAGGATCATCCCTTACTTTGAGGAACATAAGAATTAATTTAATTGAAAGAAAATTTGACCAGGTTTTTTGCAGGGTGGGGAGGTGGGGATTTTAAATTGAAAGCCCCTCACTGGTGCTCTTTTGGAAATATCTCACTGTAGCTCTTTTGGAAATATCTCACTGTACTCGTTACTGAGTGGAGAATAAAACTGCATTGTTCAGGGAATCATTCATCTTCCAACATTCCCTGAAGGGAAATAGCTTTGTGAATAACTGTCTCCCTCTACTTATAATGCTGAGAGATTCAAAGCAGGCACAAGGCAGATTTAAGGAGGGTTTTGCATACCAAGAAGGGCAGACTGGGGTGTCAGGATGGCAACCTTCCTTTTCCTGAATTTCCTGTGGCCCTATATTACTCCAGTCATCCTTAACAGTAAAGTGGAGTATGACTATTGCAAAGTTTCCATGTATATGTGGTCAAACCAAGCCATGGGTATATTATCATAGAATCCCTACAGTGTGAAAGCAGGCCATCCAAATAGCATCCACCCAATCCCTGTAACCCTGCATATCCTACCTAACCTACACATCTTTGGACGCTATGGGCAATTTAGCATGGCCAAACCACCTAGCCTGCTGAACTTTGGACTGTGGGAGGAAACCGGAGCACCTGGAGGAAACCCACACAGGCACAGGAAGAATTTTCAAATTCCACACAAACTCCACAGGGTGGAACCGAACCTAGGTCCCTGGTGCTGTGAGACAACACTGCTAGCCATGCTGTATTGCGCCACAGACTGTAACTTGGCTGATATATTTGGAGATACCGCAATCATAACTTTTTTCAATAGTTAACACCCTTTTCATTGCCTCAGTGATAAAGAACCATAATAGATCTTCCAGTCTGGGCTGAGCAAATGGATCCCAGAACAGCACAGAAGCTGCTAAATTAATTGTTCATGCAGGGCTGAAAACATTTTTATTTGAGGGCTCCTTTTGAGAATTTTTTGGAGGGTTGAGTCTTGATTTTAATTCTGACATTTTATCAACTGATGCAGTTGTGTTGTAACTTTGCTGTGTGTATTTGTGAACCGGTGTCTACAAGTTTTTCTTCTTTAGGTAAATACAGTAGCACAATTACCAAAGATTGTACACATCGAGACCTCAGTAGAGACTCCGGAGGACATCTGCAGTCCTATCCATCCTGCCATTTTGAGTACCTGCCTATTGTTCCAATTTTGTTGCCTCTGCAGCCAAATTTCCCCACTGGGTCAAGAATTTTCCTTGAATTCTGTACGCTTCACATTCTCTCTGAAGAGACTGTTAGTTGACTTCATCACATGCTTTCTTAAAATCCTTGTAAATAACATTCATAGACATTCTCCCCAGCCACTAATTGATTAAATTACCTGAGCTTTGTCAAGTAAACATATATTCTCTGATAAGCTAAAAGATTTCAGGGCTTTCGGTAAGTCCACTGATAATGATAGATTCTAATAATTTCCTGTACTAACGTGCAACGAACACAATGTTAGATGGGGTTTCAGCTGCTTAGTTTTTAGTTACCCCACCGTGGAGCTGGGGTCAATGGGAGCCCATATGCTAGGCTTGAGCCATGAGAAGTGGGACCCATGTCACCATGTATCCGGTACCTGTGGAACCTATAATCGCCACACAAACATGTAGCCAACCAAAGATCCAGCTCCTGCGAGAGCTGTATCCTGACATTGAGGTGGTTACCTATGCACACTGCACCCCAACTGCCAGCTTTTTGAAATAAAAGCAAAGTAATGTAGGTGCTATAAATCTGAATTAAAAACAAAAAGTGCTGGAAGTAGCCAACAGGTCTAGCAGTATCTGCAGTAAGAAAGCATTAACTCAAAGTCGATGACTTCATTAAAATTAGTGAAGGCTTTAACGTGGAGGATACAGGAATGGGGGAGAATTGGTCAAAAAATATCAATATGAAGAAACGTTGCAGTGTTTTGCTCAGTTGCCTTCAATTGTTGGCAAAAGAATGATAAACAGGATGTTTGGGTTTACAGAGCTGAGTTCAGTGTAATGAAGTTAAGTGTTAATGAATAATCATAATTCATGCAGCTGTTTTCTATTACAGCAGAGCTCGAACAGGGAAGAGCTGGCTTTGTCAGTATCAATTAAAAGGTGCTTCTACTTCAGAGAAGTGCTGGCATCCTTGAGCATATGGCTAGCTTGCTGTCATCTGCACAGAACAGCAGTCATCTTGGGGGTGTCTTTTTGAACCAGATTCATGAAACTCAGCTGTGAAGTGGGGTGCTGGAAATGGGATAATTTAAGTCTGGAAACAAGGTTCTTGAAGCAAGTATTGGGTTATAGCTGAGACTAAGAGTGCACTGAGTTTTTAGGAATCGAGCTCTGTACGGTCTGTATGCAGCAATGAAACAAACATTCAAATCTCAGAGGAGCAAATGCATATAGAAATTGGCAACAACTCCCAAGCATGTTTAAAAAAAAAAAAAACCATTTTAAAGGGTTTGAGATCCAGTTGGCCCTTGCCCAGATTTTTTTTTTAATTCCTTTACCATCATCTCTCAAAGCAGTTTTTTTTTTGGCACATCAAACTGAAGTGCAGAAAACCTTTACATATGTAAGCATTGTGGCAGCCATTGAGGACAGGGGAGATTAATCAATATACCAGGCTGCTCCTGAAACTAATTTGGATTTAAATGTTAAAGTGTAGATGAGGGCACCAGTCAGATGCAGTGGTAGGCCAACCTGCTCCAGAACTGTGTCATTATATCCCTGGGCAGGTTAATTTAGAAAAAATAAATTAATGGTCATGGCATAGCAGAGAATGTAGCAGCTCTGAAATCCGTAACTCTCCTCTGAAATTGTTTTGTTGGCTATTTTTTCAATACACTCAATTGCTACATTGCAAACTATTGGGTGAGGTCTCACCTCCAAGTCTGTTTTGACCATTCAATCACTTTCAGACATCCTGAGATCATGAAAATTGTTAGATCAATGCAAATCTTTTCCTTTTAATGTGACCAGATGAATCGTCACTTCACATTCGGAAACAGCATCTTTGTGATTCAGCGGTCTCTGTTCCCTGCCTGTTATTAGAATATTGTTGTCCAATTTATGACTAAGCAATGTGTCATCTCCTCTCTCGGTCTTTGAGAATGTAAATTATTTCTCTACACATCACCATACTGACTTGGAGTGAAGCTTCCTGATTCTCTACTGTGTCTCTAGAGGAAGACGTCTAATGGCATTGAGTGACCTTTCTTCACAATGAATGGAATGACTTCCTATTTGAGGCTTATGCTATCTTCTCTCAAAGAACCATTCTCAGGCTCGCTAAAGCTTGCAATGCATAGAGTAAAAACTGATTTACAAAATGCAATCTATGTCATAAACTCTACATATGAAATGCCTTGGGAAAGGGAGCTTTATATTTGAAAGTTGATTATTCAGAGATTTAAGGATTATCCCAGTTATCAGTTAGTATAAAGCCTCTTGTGAAAGATCAAGTATGTTAATTTCCCTTTCTGAAGCCTGCCTGTTCTCCTTTCTACTTCCATTGTTAGATATCTCTGTTCTAGTTGCTGATGAATCCATTTTAAAACCTTGAATGTTGTGCTCTGAATCAAATTGGTACAGCCACAAATCCGGAAGAGCTAGATAAAAAATGGAGCAAGGTCTTTCTTGTTCACGGTCTGTGACTCTGGCCATTGCCTGATACAAAAATAATGAAGTTATTGATAGAGATTAATTGCTAAAATTGTTCAATAGGAGGCAATAGACCCAGACATGAGTTAGGAACTGTCTGTGGTGGAATCAGCCTTGGGAACAGGAGGTACAAAGTTATGGTTCTTTCAAGGCCCACTGCATCAGCACACATAATGTCCCAAATTACTCAGATAATGGATCCCAATATTTATCTACTTTGCATTTACATGAATCAGTAGGAACTGTTTCTATCATTTCCCAAGGGAGCTTACTGATATACTCCGTTTTATTAATTTTAAGTTTTACTTCCATTCAAGTGCAGGTAATGTGCTCTGTGTCTACCTTTCACGATGTTAATTTTCACATGTACTGCAGACATCTTCACCACAACTACTGTCAAGCTCACCATTGCCTGTAGATTATCAGACTGCTTATCTGACATGCAGTATTAAATCAGCAGAAATTTTCTCTGATTCCATATGGAGGAGACTAAAACCATTGTTTTTGGTCCCTGCCACAAACTCCATTACATGTTATTGACTTTCCCTCTTCTAAGTATCTGTCCGAGACTGAAACAGACTGTTCACTATCGTGCTGTCATATTTGACCTTGTAATGAGCTTCCACTCACATTCTTACTACCTTCATCACATTTACCACACCCATCTATGTAATTTTTTTTATTTCCAACCCATTCCTGCTTGGCCTACGTTTTCCTAAATTTGTGGTCATCTGAAACGCTTGTGCATATCATAACTCTCTCCAAGTGCTGTTTATCCATTGTCTGTGCTCACTGAATTGTATTGGCTCCCGGTCAAACAATGCCATAATTTTAAAAATTCTTTATTTTCTGATCCCTCTGTGACCTTGTCTGCTCCTGTCTCTAATCTCCAGCTCTACAACCCAATGAGATATCATATCATTAGGCATCTTGACATGCCATTTTTAATGGTTGCACCATTGATGGTTATTTTTCAGCTCTGAAGTTCCCTCATTAAGACTCTCAACCTCCCTTTTCCTTCATTAAAACTGTACTTAGAACCTGGCTGTATGTTCAAGCTTTTGGCTGTGGGCCCTTGGGACTTGATGTCAAATTTTGCTTTGCTATTTTTGAAGTGATTGGAAATATTTATTAAGTTACACAAATAAATGTTGTTCTGAACATGCAGAAATAACTCAATGTCAACATTACGCGTCTTTTTGGAATCCTGAAAGCAGGTTGGACACTATTGTAGTGACCGAATAAGACCATATTACAAATGCTGTGTCTGACACACCTGGAAGTGTTGTAAATAGAGAATTGCAGGCTGATTCCTATACAGTATCAAAGAAGAACTAAAGGGAGGAAAGGGCTATACAATCCTGAAAGGAGAAGCACAATTCTGAGAAGAATGATCCTCGGCTCCATTAGGATTTGAAATGTTTATGGAGCACACTTGCTATAGGTGAAGGAAGGGCTACACACATTATTGGAAGAACTCTGGGTGAATCACCTGTGCGTTGGATGGACAGTGTGAAAAGAAAATTGGAACTGGACCTCCTACCTTGTTTGGAACATGTAGGCCTCTCTCATATGTTTCCCACCATCACCTGACTCATTTAGAGTCTTTACAGCTTCTGGTATTACTCCATCATCATTATTCTCTCCATTATCAATACAATCTCTTCCTAGTTTGAAGACTGAGTAAATGTTTTGTTATCAAAATTACCAACAAATGGAAAGTCACAGGCTGCAAATGCACATTTTCCCAAATGGTTTTCCTCCCATGTACTAAAAGTATAAAATGATTCGATAGTATGCTGTTCCTATTTGACAGTATCTGGGCTTAATGAACATAGGTTTTCATAAATAAACTGCATCATTAATCACTCAAATGTTTCTCTACTATTTAGTTCACCCAGTTGCAAATTTTCTGAAGGAGAAAACCTTCAGCCTCATAAACTGTTCACAAGAGAATGATTTTTTTTTGACTGAATATATAGAAAACATTAAGTGGCTTTAAAAAAATTTATAAGCAGTTTTTTTTTATTTTGATAAAAGCATACCAGATGCTGTGTGTTTAGAAGCTGGTAACTGTATGTTGTTTGTTAAATCAACTACCTGCAATAAAACTGAAATGTCAATGTCCATTTTTTAAATCTTGGCATAGGCAAATAAACTATAAGGATGTGTTAGGGGTGAGAAGACACCAGTTGTACCAGCACCATCTTTCCCAGGTGTGGATGCACAGGTTTTATACACTGGAGAGATTTGAAAAGTATGAATGTTCAAATACATACATGAGGGGAGGCAATGGCCTAGTGGTATTATCACTGGACTGTTAATCCAGACACCCAGATAATATTCTGGGCACCCAGGTTTTCTAACATTTTCTAACTCCATACCTAACTCATGCCTTTAGGGCAGTGTTTCCACTTGTTCTAATCTTTGTTTTTCCAAGTGTACAGTTATTCTGCTTTACTAATAGATTCCAGGACTTCTGCAATGTCTGATATCAGACCAGCAGACCTGCACCTTGTCTCGGATTCTCCAGCATCTGCAGTTCCTACTATCTCTGTAGTTTAATGTGTTCACTCTTCCCTCCATTCTTCATTGGCAGTGTCATATTTGCTAACTTTCTATCTGCTGGAACTGATCAAGAATTTTGGAAAATCATTACCAGTGTATCTATTATCTGTTTTAGAATCATAGGGTGTACGTCACCAGATCCTGAGGATGTCAAATTTTAGCCCTAAAATTTCTCCAACACATTTCTCTGTGAATATTAATCACTTTGATTTGCTTACTCATTGTCTCCCAGGTTATTGTGTATTTCTGTTGTGCAACTTGTCTTGGGTGGCCTTTTGCTGGTTTCTAAAATGCTTATATATCCTCAGATTTATAAATTCTTTGTAACATTATAATCTTCTATACAATACAATCCTCAACTTTCTTACTAAGCCACAGGTGCATCTTTCTCGTTAAAATTTTGGTTTTGAATATAATGTACTTTTGTTGAATGTCTTGAATTGTTCATTTAAATTTTTTCTCCTATTTACTGCCAAATATTTTAGGCTAATTTCCCCATTGTTCATGGCCAGGTATCTATCCCCTCATACTTATATAAATGTTTTTGTTTAAGATTCTTGTTTGTGATTGAAGTATTGAATGAAAATGGGATTGAATGTCCCTGAAAGGGACAGATATAAATAATGACTATGTGTGAATGTTGAGGAATTAATATCTTCAAAAGAGAAGGTGGCGAATAAACTGATGGGAAAAGGCGGCGGGGGGGATGTAGAAATTACTTCCCAACCATGGTTGAGGGACTTCATATATGCTGGGAGAGCACAAAGGCTGGGATTGTTCTAATTATAGCAGAGAATGTTTAAATTGAAACTGAAATGTTTGATAAGAGGGGATATACACACTCTTTTGTACCGGCAGGTGGGCCAGTAACTAATGGGCACAGACTTCAGATAATTGGAAAATCTCTGGATGAGAAATAGATGAGAAGTTTCCTTTATGCAATGAATTGTGATCTGGAATTTATTCTGTATAATTATGGTGGAAGCTAATTCAATAGTGATTTTCAAAGGGAATTGAATAAATACTTGAAAAGGAAAAATGTGTATAGCTCTGGGGAAGAAATAAGGCGCTGGAACAAATTGAATAGTTCTTCCAAAGTGCTGACAGAGGCAATATGAATGGCTGGTATTTTGCAAGATCCTATGAGAGACTGAGACACTGCCCTAGTCTACAGATTTACCTGCGAGAGTTATGTTATTGGTGATTGCTGAGATTTCTATGAAATTCTTAGATTGCATTTATAGCTCCAAAACCTGTCATTTCTACTCCCTGGAAGCAGATGTGGAGAAACATAGGAGTAGGAATAGGCCTTTCAGTCCCTTCAGCCTGTTCTAGATCATGGCCAATCATCTGCCTCAATGCCAATTTGCCACACTATACCCACATCACTGTTCTGACTAATAAATAGAAATCTATCAATCTCTGTCTTGAACATAATGAATTATTTTCCATCACCCTGCATGGTAGAGAATGCCAAAGATTTGATCAGTTTTCATTAGTGAACTCAAAATTATCCATTTATTATTTTTACAATTTCTGACAAGTGGCAAAACTGGTTAGCACTTGAGCCAAAATCTGAAATTGGAATTATATCCACTATCAATCCCAAACAGTCACACTACCACAAATAAATGATATTGCAGAAATGATATTTTAAAAAGGTATTTGATAATTGAAACTCACCCTAATTGGCCAATGGTGTGACAAACAAAGGATAGTATTTGATGAATTCTCACTGTGCATAGGGTTTCTTGTTGTGAAAGTCAAATTGCTAACAGCTTGTCCATGTAAAAGCTTTGCTTGGTTATTTTTGCAAAGCCACTTGACATTCTGTAATCAGCAGGTGTATCACAGCTGACAGTAAACTGTTGAATTCTTTTCCAAGAAAACACATGGGTTCCCATCAAATTCTTTGTAAGAAAAATCCTGTTAAAACCAGAAAATGTTCAAAAGTTTGATATCCTCCAATTTTTTTTTACATAGTCCATAAATAATTCCAACGTGACACAGTCTGGCTATTCTAGGGATTAATCTGGTGAACATCAGTTGTACTACCTCTATGGCAGGTATATCCTTTCTTAGACAAGGGAACTGAACTGCACACAGTATCCCAAGTGCAGTCTGAACAAGGTCCTAAACAATTGGAACAAGACATCTTTGCTCCTGTACTCAAATCCTCTTCTGATAAAGGCCAACATGTCATTTGCCTTCTGATTTGTTTGCTGCACATATATGGTAGCTTTCAATGATTTAAGAACAAGGACACCCAGGTCCCATCGGCTATCAATACTTCACATTTCTCTCACCATTCAAAGAATACTTTGCACCTCAATTCCACCTAGCAAGGTGGATAGCTCCATACTTATTCAATTATAATCCAAATGCCAGGGTATTGTCCACTCACACAGTCTGTTAAATTCCCTGGGAGCCTCTTTGCATCATAGGGACCCAGGAATTAGGAGCAGGAGTATGTAATTCAGCCCTTTGAGCCATTTAGCATGATCATGGCTGATATTATCCTGGTGTCAACTCCACTTTCCTGCCTGCTCCCGACAGCTCTATCTTGCTTTTCAACAGAAACATATTTATTTCTTTCTTGAACCTGTTGATTGATTCTGCCTCCACTGCTCTCTGGGGCATTCTCCTCACAATTCATATTTCCATCTAGTTTTGTGTCATCTGCAAACTTCAAATATTACATTTTAATGCTTGGGAATACCACCACATGCATGTACCTTCCAAGTTACATATCATTGCAGCTTTGACGTATATCATCATTCCTCCATCTTTGTTCAGTCAAAGTTCTGGGTCTTGCTGCCCACCCACACTATGGAAGTCCCTTCATCAAACATGGACTACAGTAATTCAAATTGGTTTACTTCTGTTGTATAAAGCAATGCTTCTAAAGGGGTAAATGTTAGATACCATGTTTATGTTCACCCAATCTAATGTCATAAGAAATTGAGTAAAGGCAGATGTCTTAAGATCTTGGTAGGACAAGACCACTGTCCGCAGGTATCCTGATAGCCTTAGCAATAATGTCTAACTTGTAAATGATGCCTATTATGCAATAAACTACATCATGTTTAAGACAAGAGCCTCTTCTCATGAAGACTCATTCATGGTTTTCCTGTCTCACTGTAAACTATATAGATCTTTAGATCCAGTAAAGGAAATATCAGAAGCAAAAACAAGAATGCAGATTACTACCTAAATGGCTGTAAATTAGGAGGGGAGTGTACAGTGGGACCTGGGTGTCCTTGTGCACCAGTTGCTGAAGGTAAGCAGGTGGTATTGAGTTGGACAAGCAATCATCATGAAGAATGGCACAGCAGGCTCGAAGGGCTGAATTGCCTCCTCCTGCTCCTTCTATGATTCTATGAAAGAGGATCATAGCAGTGAATTATCCCGACCACATGCTGGTAGTGGTTGGCATTACCGAACATAGAATAACCACAATGTTCTCAATGGGCAAGTAGGGATAACCAGTAAATTCTGGCCTTATCAGTAATGTCTGCAATGTATGAATGAATTAAACACAATTGTAGAAATGATGCATAATGATTCTGCTTGATAAGTAACACTGATGATGCAAAACAGACCAAATCTATATTTGGAATATACCCTGACACTGGAATGGAACCAGGTGAAATGTCTCATGTCTGATCAAGCCTGAATTCTAAAACTGCAAACTCAAGCATGTCCTTGATTGTTTATAGATTGGTCCAACTGAAATCTAACCTTCCAATAGGCATCCGTAAAACAATCTGTGGATTATTCCAGAGAATCCAGTGATCTTATTGAGAGATCTTAGTGGACTAGACAAGGGTTAAGACTCAGTTCCACATTGCTTGTTCATGGTCATGGTCATAGTCTTGTTACAGAGCTGCCATTAGCTTGTGTGATAGTCCATTGTGTCCATGCTGACTCTCTGTGAGTCCAATTCCCTTTTATCAACCACATTTATATGGCACCTTTCACCATCTCTACCAAAATGTTGTACAGTCAAAGAAATACTTTTAGAAATGCAGCAGTCAATTTATACACACCAACTCCCAATAATGAACAAATAATTGGCATCTGTAATTCTGGTTGAGGATTAAAGGCTGGGGAAAAGTTCCTTAAATTAATGTCATGGGATATTTTATATCCCTCTGAGAGGGGCAGCTCTGTTTAAAAGATTGCAACTCCCCTAACGCTGTACTGGATATGTTACCTCAACTGATGTGTTTGAATCTCTGGAATGGGACACAAACTTATAACTTTCTGATTTCAGGAGTAAGGGATAATCAACAAAATCA